CTGGCTGCAAGCTCTCCGTTCAGGACATTACACGGCGACTCCTGGAAACCGACGATGGCTCTTGTCTTACTGTCGACCACATTATGTGTTTGAAGAGGTCAGTTTGTTCTGCTCTCTGTGTATTAGAACTGCGAAAGAAACAAGAAGTCTCTACAATAGCTCTACCCATGTGATTTGAAAATTGCCATTCGGCAACCTTTACCAGTGCTATTACCTTGAAGTCCAGAAGACCTTAGATAAGGAAAGTGGCTTGGACTGCTGGGGATAGTTGACGCGTTGTAAATTTAGGAGACGTATGCCATTTGTTTAACCTACGTATTTCCCTGCTGACCTTGCAGCAGCTCTCGTTTCTTTGCTTCTGGTGTGTGTGGTTGTTAGATTTCAACCGAGTGCTGATGACCGTGAGGTGTATAAGGATTTCAAGGGTACTGTCAGCAGTCTTCAAGATGTGGATCAGTTCATGTATCAGGTATGGGGCTGAACAGTCTTGTGTGAATTGTACTATGGCATTTGAAGATCAGCCATCTCTCGTGCGAATGGAGCAGGCTATTGTAAACGGGTGCTTTGGCGTGTGATGTAGACAGGTGAAAAAGAACACAGTTGATGGTCTCCAGCCTTGTGTGTTAGAAGGAGAGATTTGATCGTTGTAGTGTGGCAGTTACCTTACGCTGTGCAGACTCGATAACTATGCACCAGGTCACATGGTCATAGAGTTTGTCCTGGTGGATTGACTGTAATATTGAAAAGTGTTTTTTGCTATGCTACTGTGTTCTCCATGAGCTGATAACGTAAAAGCATTGGGTCAATTGAGTTGACTGTTGTTGCTGCTGCTGCCGCCTCTGCTGCTGCTGTTGTTGTTTGCTGCATCCTGTTTCCTTCTTGCCATAGCTGTGCAAAGTGCCCAAGCTTGCACAGTACATTGACATGCAGCTGCTAGTGCAGGAGTTCCCCATGCAGTTGGAGGAGATGTCCGCGGTGGGTAGTGCGTGGAGACGTGTCATCTAGAGCTGATGGATATGCACGCCAGTTGTGAATCATGTTGTTTAGTGTTCATGGAAGTCTTGCTGCTAATACTAGTACATGCTGCCCCTTAACCTCGGGCTGCTTTTGAAGCACATGTGCGACATCTCCCTGTTCCCTTTGTATATTGTGCCGTGTGTAGGCTGCTTGGATTTTTCGTTCTTTGAACATGTAATGTGCTGTGGTGTATTTGGATTGGCAGGTCATAGAAAGAGGTCTGACGGCATGCAAGGAAGTGTTCACACCGGCGTTCAAGCGCCTTCTCGAGTACATCCTCGCTATTGGCAATTATCTCAACTCTGGCACGGCGAGAGGCGAATGCTACGGCTTCAAGCTTTCCTCTCTGCCTAAAGTGAGCTCAGCATGCCTTTCAGAATGCACCACTGTGTGACAGTGTTGTATTGATTTCAGAATAGCTACATGCATAACCGTGCTTACGCTAGGGCCTTGCAAGAATTGGCTCCGAGGTGCCCTTCATCTGTTTCTCCCAGCTGTCATGTTGTACGTGTGCCGTTGGTGCGACCAATTCCAGACCCCAGAAAATGCCTTATTTTAATGCTGGAAAATATCTAAAAAAAAGAGAGGACCATAAGTTATCCGTTTTGTCCAACACAAACGATTATAAGCAGGATAATGGTGATTATACCTCACTCCATATACACCCACACTCATATACCAGATCTCCCATGAAGTTTATAAATAGACCAGTATAAAAACCGAGGCGAAGCCTAGGTTTTTATAACTGGTCGATATTTCTCGATATACACTCGGTCCCTTGTTATAATATATACGTCAAACTGTACAACAATTAGCACAAAACTGACTGATGTGATACTGACATTCAACAATTCTTTTTTAATCTTAATCCTTGGCTCTCCATCCGAAAATATCTATAATAATAGATGTTTGCTGTGGTCTTCATTTCTGAATATTTTGATGCGGGCTTGGCTGCAACTGCCATGCTGGTTCCAATGCCACTGCTCACGGTGTGTTGTTGGTTGTAAACTTTGCTTTCTCCTCGTGAATAGTTCTGCTCACTCCGTGGCAAGGACCGCAACTACAATGTTCTCCATCTAGTGTATGAGAAGGTCATGCCTAAGGAGCCGGAGCTAAGGAAGTTGCCGACAACGATGAAGACTATCCGCGGTACAGCTGAAAGTAAGTGACTGGATGTCAGCTATAGGGAGTCAGATGATCGTGTCTGATCATCTGATGATCAGAGTGTGAAACCACTGGAAGCTTCAGGGAAGGCGGCCTCCTGTCCCCTGTATTTGTGTAGCATTAGATGGTTTTGAAGCAAGAATTTTTCCCAGCTTCTTTTGTCTGATGATTCGTGTTATGTACAGTCTCGCTGCGCTCGCTGGCTGGTGAAATTGAAGTCATGGAGAAGGACTTGGACAAGATTGTCCGGAATGCGGAGAAGCTCGTGGAGAAAGATCACTCTTCGGCGGAGAAGTCTTTCCACAGCAAAGTCATGGTACGATAGAGGCTCAATTATTCTTGTGCTTTCTAGAATGTACTTGAAGTGGAGGATGGGAAGCACGTTATTATTTTTTTACATGTATCTAATAAGAATCCTTTTTTAGATTGCTCCTGTTTATAATAAAAGAACTTATTGTATTGGGTGTTGATGTTGTTGTTGGTACATGCAAATACATACGCTCTTGCTTGCTTTCACATTGCTATCAAATGGCCATGTTCGCCCCTTGTACTTGTAAACCTTTCTGACGATGGGTGACTGGCCTGAAAAGTCATATTTACAGTACATGTACCAATAAACTATTTTTTTCAAATGAATCAGCGCAATGCGTGGGGCGAATAGTAACAACTGAATGGAGCAGTTGTCAGTTGCCCCCCCCCCCCCCACCCTTTCTTGTATTTATTGAAGGTCACTATTTCCCCTATCTTCTTCTGGCGTTTGATGCAAGTTTTGTAAGTAGCATCTCATTGTGACGTTTGCGTGCATGCGTGTTTGTTGTTGGGTACAGCGCTTTGTTGACATTCATCGGTCTAAGCTGACTAAAGTGCAGCTAATGGGCGAAGAGATGAACGGGATGTTCTCTAAAGTTCTGGTGAGTGGATGCACTATGATGTGATTTTAATTATTTTTCAAATAGAAACTGACGAGCCTCCAATACATACAATACAATCTTTCTGATCACATATTTATGGAAACAGAAGTACAAACTTGCTTGCGTCTCTTTGCCCTTTTTTGATTGAAACTGACGAGCTTCCGATACAGTGATCTTTCTAATCACATATTTATGGCAACAAAAGAACAAACTAGCTTGCGTCTCTTTGCTCTGGTTTCAAACATAGCAGTGAGCCTATCCTTTCTTCCAATTGGTTTGCCATCTGCCGGCAGCTTGGTTCCACTTTTCTCTTTAAGAACGCTCAGGTTCGTACCGAGACGCTTTTGAACACGCCCCACGCATTACTCCTTCTCAATTGTTACGTCTCCCTAGGGCTTGCATGCACGCACACTTGGATAGGCACTGAAGTCGGCGGTGGCATCTCCTATGTAGTTTACACACCGAAGCTTGTTGATCTCCTCGGACCGCTTCCAGAGTACCTTCACAGCATCGGTCTCCATCGCAGGTGACGACACACTGGTATTGAACTGGCAGCTACTACAGTGCTGCCCAATGAAATCCAGCCGCGTCACTCAAGTACGCGTCGGGCGCTGCGCAGCCATAGACCTGCGAGCACTAGGCTGCGGAATGATGCAAGGCGCAAACTTGAGTGACGCGACTGGATTTCATAGCACTGTATTTGCATGGCCTGCTTTGAATGCTGCAAATTCTTCTTCTGATAGGCTACGTTTCCGGAAGGAAGTCTTCTTACTTGTGCAGAAAGTACAATGGCGGGACAGCGTTCCACGTCCACAAATGTGTGCGTCTCCCAAGCAACTGCAGTCTGCTCGCCATATAAGGAGCTGTATCCCCATCGCATATTCCGTCCGTTGTGACGGCGATCTCTGCTTGTGATTCCTCTCTGGCTGCATCTCGTTGTGCGAAAACAGCTTCAGCAGTATTTTTCATGCTCAAACTTGCAGTAACTTTAGTGGATTAATCCACGACCTCTTGCGCGACACGCAGTACAATGAGGAGTTATCAGACGCTCTGATATGCACCAACGGTTCCACCCGGTCATCCATCATATTGTCAGTCGACGACCTCCTTCGCATCTCCATTGTATCGCATGTTGACTCGGGCAATTTTGAGATGAAGCCATCCTCGCTGATATCAATTATGCCGACTTGCACACGAATCCGCATGACTCGTGTGGCTACGGCACGGAGTTGAATGGCCTTGGTACTATGTCGTACACTCATGTTGTCCACCCGATACACTTCATTGTGATTCGCCTCCTTGATCAATTGCATGATGTCACTCGAATCCAAATATGACGCATCTGCGAAGATGTCGACTATATCTTGGGAACATTCTTCATCATGCAATTCATCGAGCTTGTAGAAGGAGCGTCTCCCATCGACCCATCTTCGGAGTATGACGCCATCATCTCCGTCGCTGACAGTGCCAAAGTCCTCGACACCACCGATGACGATTTTCGGAAGGTGCTGCTTCCTATCCTTTCCAGAACCCGCCCAACACATACTACTTTGGTGAAGTATCTTTACGTGGCGCTGGTAGTTCTTCTTCGCAACTGGTGCTGGCAAATGGAGGAATGCACACAATTTCCAGAAACCCTCGCGGCCTCTTCTATGCAGGTACATAGCCAACACGCTCTTTCCATTCAATTTGTTATAGCTGCATGTCTTTCTCACTGCGGGGGGCGTTGAAGGTCTTTCTCACTGCGGGGGGGGGGGGGCGTTGAAGGTCTTTCTCACTGCGGGGGGGCGTTGAAGGTCTTTCTCACTGCGGGGGGGCGTTGAAGGTCTTTCTCACTGCGGGGGGGCGTTGAAGGTCTTTCTCACTGCGGGGGGGGGCGTTGAAGGTCTTTCTCACTGCGGGGGGGCGTTGAAGCAACAGAAGTGCAGTAGTCACATGCAACTTCTATTATCAAGGCTAGGCCAGCTCGTCGCTTCTATTATCAAGGCTAGGCCAGCTCGTCGCTTCTATTATCAAGGCTAGGCCAGCTCGTCGCTTCTATTATCAAGGCTAGGCCAGCTCGTCACTTCTATTATCAAGGCTAGGCCAGCTCGTCGCTTCTATTATCAAGGCTAGGCCAGCTCGTCACTTCTATTATCAAGGCTAGGCCAGCTCGTCGCTTCTATTATCAAGGCTAGGCCAGCTCGTCACTTCTATTATCAAGGCTAGGCCAGCTCGTCACTTCTATTATCAAGGCTAGGCCAGCTCGTCACTTCTATTATCAAGGCTAGGCCAGCTCGTCACTTCTATTATCAAGGCTAGGCCAGCTCGTCACTTCTATTATCAAGGCTAGGCCAGCTCGTCGCTTCTATTATCAAGGCTAGGCCAGCTCGTCACTTCTATTATCAAGGCTAGGCCAGCTCGTCACTTCTATTATCAAGGCTAGGCCAGCTCGTCGCTTCTATTATCAAGGCTAGGCCAGCTCGTCGCTTCTATTATCAAGGCTAGGCCAGCTCGTCACTTCTATTATCAAGGCTAGGCCAGCTCGTCACTTCTATTATCAAGGCTAGGCCAGCTCGTCTCTTCTATTATCAAGGCTAGGCCAGCTCGTCGCTTCTATTATCAAGGCTAGGCCAGCTCGTCACTTCTATTATCAAGGCTAGGCCAGCTCGTCACTTCTATTATCAAGGCTAGGCCAGCTCGTCACTTCTATTATCAAGGCTAGGCCAGCTCGTCACTTCTATTATCAAGGCTAGGCCAGCTCGTCGCTTCTATTATCAAGGCTAGGCCAGCTCGTCACTTCTATTATCAAGGCTAGGCCAGCTCGTCACTTCTATTATCAAGGCTAGGCCAGCTCGTCACTTCTATTATCAAGGCTAGGCCAGCTCGTCGCTTCTATTATCAAGGCTAGGCCAGCTCGTCACTTCTATTATCAAGGCTAGGCCAGCTCGTCACTTCTATTATCAAGGCTAGGCCAGCTCGTCACTTCTATTATCAAGGCTAGGCCAGCTCGTCGCTTCTATTATCAAGGCTAGGCCAGCTCGTCGCTTCTATTATCAAGGCTAGGCCAGCTCATCACTTCTATTATCAAGGCTAGGCCAGCTCATCACTTCTATTATCAAGGCTAGGCCAGCTCGTCGCTTCTATTATCAAGGCTAGGCCAGCTCATCACTTCTATTATCAAGGCTAGGCCAGCTCATCACTTCTATTATCAAGGCTAGGCCAGCTCATCACTTCTATTATCAAGGCTAGGCCAGCTCATCACTTCTATTATCAAGGCTAGGCCAGCTCGTCGCTTCTATTATCAAGGCTAGGCCAGCTCGTCGCTTCTATTATCAAGGCTAGGCCAGCTCGTCGCTTCTATTATCAAGGCTAGGCCAGCTCGTCGCTTCTATTATCAAGGCTAGGCCAGCTCGTCGCTTCTATTATCAAGGCTAGGCCAGCTCGTCACTTCTATTATCAAGGCTAGGCCAGCTCGTCACTTCTATTATCAAGGCTAGGCCAGCTCGTCACTTCTATTATCAAGGCTAGGCCAGCTCGTCGCTTCTATTATCAAGGCTAGGCCAGCTCGTCACTTCTATTATCAAGGCTAGGCCAGCTCGTCACTTCTATTATCAAGGCTAGGCCAGCTCGTCACTTCTATTATCAAGGCTAGGCCAGCTCGTCGCTTCTATTATCAAGGCTAGGCCAGCTCGTCGCTTCTATTATCAAGGCTAGGCCAGCTCATCACTTCTATTATCAAGGCTAGGCCAGCTCGTCACTTCTATTATCAAGGCTAGGCCAGCTCGTCGCTTCTATTATCAAGGCTAGGCCAGCTCGTCGCTTCTATTATCAAGGCTAGGCCAGCTCGTCACTTCTATTATCAAGGCTAGGCCAGCTCGTCACTTCTATTATCAAGGCTAGGCCAGCTCGTCACTTCTATTATCAAGGCTAGGCCAGCTCGTCACTTCTATTATCAAGGCTAGGCCAGCTCGTCGCTTCTATTATCAAGGCTAGGCCAGCTCGTCACTTCTATTATCAAGGCTAGGCCAGCTCGTCACTTCTATTATCAAGGCTAGGCCAGCTCGTCGCTTCTATTATCAAGGCTAGGCCAGCTCGTCACTTCTATTATCAAGGCTAGGCCAGCTCGTCGCTTCTATTATCAAGGCTAGGCCAGCTCGTCACTTCTATTATCAAGGCTAGGCCAGCTCGTCACTTCTATTATCAAGGCTAGGCCAGCTCGTCACTTCTATTATCAAGGCTAGGCCAGCTCGTCGCTTCTATTATCAAGGCTAGGCCAGCTCGTCACTTCTATTATCAAGGCTAGGCCAGCTCGTCACTTCTATTATCAAGGCTAGGCCAGCTCGTCACTTCTATTATCAAGGCTAGGCCAGCTCGTCACTTCTATTATCAAGGCTAGGCCAGCTCGTCGCTTCTATTATCAAGGCTAGGCCAGCTCGTCACTTCTATTATCAAGGCTAGGCCAGCTCGTCACTTCTATTATCAAGGCTAGGCCAGCTCGTCACTTCTATTATCAAGGCTAGGCCAGCTCGTCGCTTCTATTATCAAGGCTAGGCCAGCTCGTCACTTCTATTATCAAGGCTAGGCCAGCTCGTCACTTCTATTATCAAGGCTAGGCCAGCTCGTCACTTCTATTATCAAGGCTAGGCCAGCTCGTCGCTTCTATTATCAAGGCTAGGCCAGCTCGTCGCTTCTATTATCAAGGCTAGGCCAGCTCATCACTTCTATTATCAAGGCTAGGCCAGCTCATCACTTCTATTATCAAGGCTAGGCCAGCTCGTCGCTTCTATTATCAAGGCTAGGCCAGCTCATCACTTCTATTATCAAGGCTAGGCCAGCTCATCACTTCTATTATCAAGGCTAGGCCAGCTCATCACTTCTATTATCAAGGCTAGGCCAGCTCATCACTTCTATTATCAAGGCTAGGCCAGCTCGTCGCTTCTATTATCAAGGCTAGGCCAGCTCGTCGCTTCTATTATCAAGGCTAGGCCAGCTCGTCGCTTCTATTATCAAGGCTAGGCCAGCTCGTCGCTTCTATTATCAAGGCTAGGCCAGCTCGTCGCTTCTATTATCAAGGCTAGGCCAGCTCGTCACTTCTATTATCAAGGCTAGGCCAGCTCGTCGCTTCTATTATCAAGGCTAGGCCAGCTCGTCGCTTCTATTATCAAGGCTAGGCCAGCTCGTCGCTTCTATTATCAAGGCTAGGCCAGCTCGTCACTTCTATTATCAAGGCTAGGCCAGCTCGTCACTTCTATTATCAAGGCTAGGCCAGCTCGTCGCTTCTATTATCAAGGCTAGGCCAGCTCGTCGCTTCTATTATCAAGGCTAGGCCAGCTCGTCGCTTCTATTATCAAGGCTAGGCCAGCTCGTCGCTTCTCAAGCACTACCAGGTTGCCTTTCTTACATTTTCTGCAAACTGCTGACATGGGCAATAAATTCAGCAATTTCCGGTTGTCAGAATCCAGGACTTCATCATCACTCTCCACACTTTAGTCTTCATCGGAGTCCTCAGCGCTCTCAGTACCCTCATCTGCAAGTGACTCTTGATCGCCAGCCAAGTGTTCACAGCTATGAGACGTGTCAGCTACTCCCTATTGCTCAGAGTCACTTTCAGTCTGAGCACGAGATGCAGACTCGCTCTCTTCCTCCAGATCTGTGCGCTTGGGGTTCTGGAACCGATTCCCGTAGAAAACACGCTTGTTGGCTCTGTAGTGCGCGCTCTTCTTCCTCTTATTGCCCATGACCAGAAGACTAAAGTTACAGAGAACAATGGACATGCCAATTTCCAACTTTCTGTATTTCCTTTGTCCGACTCGATCCTGGACTCGCTTTGTGTTTGTTCGTGCCGACACCGTACCAGGAGCACTGCATGCACAATACAGAGATCATGTGGAGTAGATGTACGCTACGGTATGCAACTTGTCCTAGCCATCTAGCTGGCTATCTTGGTGCCCTCCGCGATCCGCGCAGATGATTCGGAACGAAGATTGAGCACGCTTGCAAACTGCATTCAAAGTGGAGATCAGCTGATTTTTTTACAAATTCGCAGTGGCAGGTGGTTTGAATTTTTTGAATTCCCCCCAACCGTCGTGTTGTTTACACCTGCAGAAAGTTTATCACTTCAGGAGGAAATGAGCTGAATATGGCCTTACTGTAAAACATGTTATTTTAGGTGCATTAAAATTTCGGTGACAGAGACCTGTCAGGTTTCAGGTGTAATGTAGAATTAGGTGACCAGTGTTCCCTTCACATACAGTGCATACTCTTGTGGCTTTTAGGTGTAATTTAAATAGGGCTGCAAGGAATATTCAAATATTCGTTTGGAACCCGATAGAAGGAATATTTTCCCCTTTAGAATATTCTTTCGTTTTGACAAGTGCGCACACTCTGCTCGTGTCGATCTACTGTAGTAATTCTTGAACGGATGGAGTGATATGTACATGTGTTATGTGTTGAGAAAGGGGACTATGACTCACAAGAGTACTGTAAATCATGAATATGTAACGAACAAGTAAATCTAACGAGTTAACGAGCAAAGATTAGTCGTTATTTTAAAATTCGTTAGCAAAAGTCGTATGCATTTGGGCCTCGCACGATTGAAATCGATCATTTCACATTATGGCATGCAGCGCGTGTTCAACGGATCGTAACTCGGTCAATTCTCAACGGAATTCAACAATGGAAAGATCTAGATGATAGCAGAGACGCTCAGCAGTCAGTTCGAACAACTCCGAAGTCTCTCAGATGCATTTTGACGAAGCGGCAGGAGATCGAAAAATTGGAATTTTTTACGCTTACGCTGGATAAATTTCATTTTCTTTATTCTCCTGAGATCGATGTCTTGCTTCTCAACACCATGTCGCAGCGACGTTCCTGGTTTACTGTGATGGACAACAACGAATGTCCTTGACGAGCATTCGTAGTACTTCGAAGTATTATTGCATCTGTCTGAGAAAATCGTTAAGTTTTCAAACCGTTAACCTTCGAAAATCAGAAAATCGTTAACTTTGCGGGTCGTTAAAATAATATGATTTACAGTTGTGGACATGACTCCACTAGACATCTACTTGGTCTAGAACAACCGGGGACTAGCCAAACACTTTCTAAGATTCTTTTGGTATCGAATATTATTATTAGGGGTCAAAGGGGTGTACCGGGTACCCGGGTACCCGACCGTTAACCTCAGGTACCGTTAGTAAAAGGGTACCCGTTTGGATTTTGATGAACCAATCAGTGTGGAGCAACACTGCTGGGATCGTGTATTCCAGGCGGGAGTCGATTATTTACAACTCAACGCTGGATGTCTGCATTGTTGTTGCATTTTCGCACCTAGTAAATCTACTCCTGCGACTATCAGACACCAATCGATTTGCGGATCACAACATGATATCAAAATGCAACCCGAGAACAGATGAATTATAATCTTGATTTATGTAAAAATTGCGCAAAAACCTAAACATGGCTGCTAAAGGGTACCCGTTAACCCGCCTGTTAAAAAAATTACCCGTTCGTTAGTTAAAGGTACACCCGTTTGACTCCTAATTATTATTCGTTCGTTACGGATGAGTATTCGTTCGTTTGTGAAATAGAATATTCGTTGCAGCCCTCAATTTAGGTGCCTGGTTTCTCTACCGAAATCACTGAAATTAAAGTTACACCGAAAATTACATGTTTTACAGTATTATACTCATAAAAAGGACACACTTCAGGCTCATTACAAACATCTTGAAAGTTTTTGTCTTCACAAGTATACTTTCAAGCCTTCTCGTCAGGTGAAATACAGTATCAGGTGAAAGTATACTTGTGAAGACAAAAACTTTCAAGATGTTTGTAATGAGCCTGAAGTGTGTCCTTTTTATGAGTATTATCGCATTTTTGTCTCAGAGGAAACTTTTTACAGTATTCTGACAAATTTCATTTTTGGTCCTTTTGGGACCCCAATATAGGGGACCTGCCAAATATTGGAGGCAGAGAAATTGAGAGAAATGAATTCAGGTAAAAAAGGAGAAGGACAAAATGTTACGAGCTATTACTGACTGTCCACCAACGTAACCAGAATCATATACAGTCAGCGAGTGCGACAAAATGGCACGAAACTGACAAGGAGTACTGAGACATTCAGCAACCTGACACCTAGCTCCAACATTTCTCCCAGGCACAAACCAACAACTCAGGTTCGGAAAGGTCCAAGAGGGGAAGGAAGCGCAACGAAGAAGAACCCGAGCTACGCCCCATGGCTACAAGGAATGCTGAAAGTTACTGGATGATGACGAAACTAGTAAGACTATTGGACATACCGGCCTTACTACAACTCGACAACGTAATGCAACAGATCACCCAACTTGGGAGGCTCAAGTTTATGTAATAAACATAGAAAGGGGAAGCTAAGTGAAGACGAATTGTGACACACCGAAACGCCAACATCCTACTGAACTCCACATAAATTGGCTCATCATCCGAGTTCACAATTGAATTCCCTTTTTCTTCGTCAGTACTAGAAAACGAGTCCTTGTACTTCAGAAGTAGATCTGTGTACCAAGTTCAACGGCTCAGCTCACTATTCGACGTTTTGGTCCATGGTGTCAATGTTGCTTGCATTCTCTCAGACGTTTCTTGGTGAGCAACCAAGTGTGGACAGCGATGAAGTGTTTGGATACATCAACGAATTCCTGTCACATCTCGAGCGCGTCATCATGGAAAAAGAGTCCGAAGAAGAGCAAGAGAAGAGAAAGTAAGCTGGTTGTACATGTGTGTGTGTGTGTGTGTGTGTGTGTGTGTGTGTGTGTGTGTGTGTGTGTGTGTGCGTGTGCACACGCGTGTGTGGGGTATTCAATAATTCGTGCTGGTGTGTGCGGACTTGTGTATATGTTTGTTTGTGTGTGTCTGCATTTGAGCGCCAGTGGCACGCACCAGAATGTGTAGCATTCTGTTTTTATGTGGCAGTTGGCTTTTTGGAAGTTTTTGCAGAGCAGCAAGCATGACATGGCTGTGTAATCGAGCATGATTATTATAGTAGTCTGTGCTACTATAATAGATATTCTAGCTTACGCGTGTACTGATAGAATATGCCAGGCACTGTGCTTCTCCTGATTGCACCATGCCAACGTTCCTCCCGGTTTCTCATTGTTAGTTATGTAACGCATGTTCTGTGCTTTGTTGCTGCAGAGCTGAAATGGCAGAGAAGGCGGAGAAGGCTGCTGAAAAGAGACGAGCAGAGCAAGCAAAGGCTGCAGCAGCTCGCCCTACGTGAGTTACTGAAACTAATAATTCGAGCATGAACAGAGATACGTTGTACTCCAGCTGAGAGGCTGAGAGGTCCGAATGCAGGATAAACGCTAGTGTTTGCGCAGCTCTCAGGCTTGATTTTTTTTTGTAAAGACACTTTTATTGGACATGTACATGCAGCAGTACAGTTGGCACCTATGACATCAGGGGATGGCCCACGCCTGGTAAAAACAAACAAAAAACAAACAAACAATGAGGAGCATTAAAGACAGTCAGTGCAGTGCGCACATGTTCACCGGTTTGAGTGCTACACACATGCCACAGCAGCTCTCAGGCTCAGGCTTGATTTTTATACTTCAAAGTACTTTTCATGTACTAGTTGCTGGATTTATGAATCACATGATCTGTGTCTGTGGCACATTGCTGTCCTATCGAGGTGGGAATAACTCTTCGCATCCTGCATGAACACCTGTGGAAAGGACCTTTTGATATGTTCGCGCCGTGCAGTCTTCTGCGTTTTGAAGGAGCTTGTGCACCCAGTATAGCATTTTTCCGACAAGCTGGTTGTCTCGTTCAGTCGATATGTGACATAGCTTATAGCACTGTATTGTCCGTGTGAGTGTACTCATATGTGTCTGTGCATGTGTGTATGTGTGTTTGCATATGCACGGTGCGTTTCTGTCTACAGCACGCCATCGTCATCTCTCGGTATGGCTATGGTAAGTTGAACAGAAACTAGATACAGTGTAGCAGTGTGTCTGCTCCTCTTGCTGTTGCCGGTGTGATATCAGTGACTGTGACGTTTAGACCCATCCTCAGCTAATGCCACGTGTCCACATGCAGCCATTCCTTGTGTGTATGTTTTCTTTTCTAGCTATCAGGCGTGCTTGTCCGTTTGTCTCTTTCCCTCAAGCCAGTTAATATCAGGTGTGCCTTCGTCTTTTTGTGCTTGGTTACCATGGTAACATTTGTGCACGCACCAGTTGTCAAGTCTTTACTCTGTATACATGCTTTAAACTAGGTTTTGTGATAGTATAGGCGAGTATAATCTCTCACTCCTCTCACCTTTTTCTTCTGTGTTCTTTTTTTCAAGGCGGGGCGACGAGGAGGCAACAAGCCCACGCGAAAGGGCTACTTGATGAAGCTGAGCGGTGGCAAACACCGAGCAGCCAAGTTTGACAAGCGGTTCTTTGAGCTGGCCGAGGCTGGCAGCCTCTACTACTACAAGAAAGAAGGCGGCAAGGCGCTCGGGGCTATCTACTTGCGTGGAGTTGTCGCAGAGCATGACAAAGAAGACCCATCCGTTATCAGCTTCATGGCTGAGGACCGTCAGTGGACGCTGAAAGCGGAGAGCCGAGACGAGGCGGAAGCATGGCTTTACGACATGGCAGCGTATTGCTAGGCTGAGGACGAAGAAGACAGGTGTGTATTGCACAGGCCGGGATAGTGCTGGTACCGAACAATTTTGTCACCTTGGATTCCATCTTGTGTCAGCTCTGTATGCGTGGACGCAAAGTGACTTGTCCAAGGTGGCATGCATTTTTTTAACACAACTTTGCACACGCATTTTTTATTTACTCATCCCTTTCACTTGAGATGTTTTGACATCACCCAAGCCAGTGCTGGCTACTGTTAGCATGCTGTACGCCTAGTACTTGGTGGCAGATATGATTGTATCATTATTCTATCTAGGCATTTCTAATTATATTATTATTGCCTCTTTTTACGGTAGGAACTTCTGAAGAAGTCCTTTTTACACAGGACTGAGGGTGTCCAGTGTGATTTGTCATACGAGAAGAGTGCACATTGCATCTGACCAGAGTTTGCAACTCCCTAGTAGGGAGCGTACAGTAAAGTCTCGCGTCCCAAGAACGTAAAGTTGTTTCCGAGGGGTTCTTATTTTCAGCAAACTGGCTGCGTTCTTAGAAACAATTTGTACTGGATCGTAATAATCATGTACCCCAAAAGTTGCAGGAAAACCAACACTGTTGTTCTGAACTTTATTAATAGGCTGTGTTGTTCTTAGCATTTCAGGCTGGACAGACGTACAGGTATTTCTGGACTTGCTTTCTTGATGTATTTTTTATTATCACTACTCGTACCTGTGTGCAAGGTCGTCACAGCCGGGGCGGGCCATGATCACAGCTCAGCGCAAATCCTTCTCCCCGCGATATTGGTTTATTGCAGAATTAAAAATTCTTTAGCAATGAAAAATATCAATTGTGCACTCATAATCATGTATAAACAATTAAAATGAAACAATTCCAGAACGTTTTCGTGTGACCATCATCAGTGGAACATCGTTTAGTGTTATTTGTCGCGCGCGTTTCTTTAAGCAGTTGCAGGTGTTGGAAGCTGTATATATTCGCACACGTGACCCTGTTCTATGCAAGCAAAAAGAAAATGTTGTAGCACTCACACTTTTTAAATAATACGCACTCACCAGTTTTTGTTCACACGCACTCACAGCTGCCACATTCATCTACTGCTACCATTCTCAGATACACTGCAAAGGTTCACACTACACGCGTTATGCATAACCGCTAGCTGTGCTGCATTCTCACGCTTCTTTTCATGTTACTCTAGCTATATAACTGGTTGTTTTAGTGATTCTTACTATGTGACGATGTTCCACTGATGATGGTCACACGAAAACGTTCTGGAATTGTTTCATTTTAATTGTTTATACATGATTATGAGTGAACAATTGATATTTTTCATTGCTATTTTACGACTGTTGTCTCCTCGTCGGTTATTTAAAAATTCTTTCATAGCAGTTCACGTACACGACATGGCACGAAATGCCTGCAATTGGCTTCAATTTTTGTTCCAGGGGAGAATAGTGAGGAACCCCCTTGTCCTTGATCGTACATGTAGCGTCTTCTTGGTTTGTTGCAGAATCAAAAAGTCTTTAATTAAATTATTTTAGTTACACTGAAATATGGCACCAAGTGGAAATGTTTGCAATTGGCTTCAATTTTCAATTTTTATTTTATTTCTTTTTCCTGAGGGCCGCCCGATATGGCCCACCTCCAAAGTCGCACGGTACCGCGGTGTGTATGCTGCATGGAAAATGAGTGTAATACTATCGAATTTCTGCCCACCGAAATTTTGTCCCTAAATAACAATTCTGAACCAAAATAAAATCATATGGAAAGCTCACAAAAGTCTTCAGAACGAAAAGCTGCTCCCACTTTCACGCGGGATTTTCTGAACACTGCGGACAACACAACTGAGGTTGAGGTTCTGCAGCAATCCACGGGGGCAAGGACTCCAATAGTGGCAATACGCACTCTACGTGTACAATGGAACCGGCGGGTCTAGTCGCGCGTCCAAGAACATACATTCTGTCCGAGGGGTTAGCCTGGGCCTTTCAAGTCTACTTGTACTTTTTCGCAAATATCCCGTGTGGACAGTATGTATAGCAAAACATAGAGAAACCAAGCAAGAGCGCAGGCAAGATTTTTACGGCAGTGTGTGCAACGGTACTGTAACTATTTTTCTTGCGAAAGATCATGCAATCACATACATCACAAAATACGAAACGGACAGCAACTTCCTTTTGATTGTATGTGGTGGCTTTGAAAAAAGCCGGTTGTTTTTGAAGAATCAAGCGATCACATCTCGAGACAAGGTGTTTACTTGCTGCTGGTGTACTTGGTGACGGCCTTGGTACCCTCGCTGACGGCGTGCTTGGCAAGCTCACCAGGCAACAGAAGACGCACAGCGGTTTGGATTTCCCGGCTGGTGATGGTAGACTTCTTGTTGTAGTGAGCCAGACGGCTAGCCTCAGCAGCAATGCGCTCGAAGATGTCGCTGACGAAAGAGTTCATGATGCTCATGGCCTTGCTGGACACACCAGTGTCAGGGTGTACCTGCTTCAGGACCTTGTAGATGTAGATGGAGTAAGACTCGCGACGGCGGCGATGACGCCTCTTCTTGTCTCCTCCATCGGTGACGGCCTTCTTCGTGGCCTTGCCGCTCACGGCACTCTTTCCACCCTTGGCAGCAACTTTTCCAGGCATCTTGAGATTCTTCGCAAACGAGAGAAAAGTCAATGACTGATGCTTGGTCAACTGCCCTGCACCTCTATTTATGACAGATCCCAAACTGTGGTTCGATTTTGGAACCCCTGAGGTGACGACCTTGGAGAACACGGTGATTTGCGCAGTTGCCACGGAGATCCTGACATTTGAAATATTAGCGGGAAACAGTCGGGCGGGCTGTGACGCGTACATACCCATGCACACACAACGGCTGCGGCTAGCGGCTGCCACTTTTCCCGCGTTTGTCAGTTCAAAAAATGTATGTTCGGAACAGTGTCGACATGTCGCATCAGCCTACAGTAGGCCATTAACCCTTTCAGTGCCAAGGGGGTCGGAAAAATTCAAATTTTTCTGAGTTGAGCTGAACTCAAATTTTTCATAGCTCAGCTGTATATCCACGGATCTTTACAAACGATGGCTCTCTGGAAAGATATCATGGCCAGGCAGACAGCTGTGAAGAGATATACGCAGCGAAAATAGTCTTCCTCGCGAGGGCGCCTGAGCGAAGTCCGTTTTCTGCATTTTCGTAGCATCTGCACTTTCTCACGCGCGCGATCGATCGCAGTGCAGTCAACTTTCAACGCACGGAATTCGGACAAAGTTGGCCTGAAAGCCGCTGAAAATCTCGATGTTTTGATACCCAATACGCATGGGTTGCCGCGAAAGAAATAGAGAAACCCGCGATGCGCATACGTCATGTTTTCTACGGGCGACAATTGTTTGTCCGAGCGCGCGCGCTTCAAGCTTCACCCTGGCGATATCTATCCTCACGGACACAAAACGATGTGATGAGTCGATAGCCAAGGTCTTCCTGAACACGTAGAGTGGTCGTTTGTAACTCTCCTGTGTGTAGAAGTGGAGATACGAATTTATTTGTACACACATACTCATTTTGGGCGACTAAAGTCGCCCGTGGCACTGAGAGGGTTAATAGCGTTATCCTGTGTACTTCTACGCCTGTTCAAAGGTTGTTTGTTGAATGTTGTAGGTGCATCCGCGATCTGCCTGGTGACACCGATTTTCACAGTACAGCTGCAGTTTGGAAAAAGCTTCTTTGCCTATCGGTACTCGAATCGATCATCGATCTTCCTTTGCATAAAAATTGTGCTTGTTGAGGTGGTAGTGGATATTTGGTGACTTGATTTGTCAATGATTTCAGTACACAGTACATGTATTATGAACCAGTGATGGCAGAGCTAGACGAGAGAACGTTGTCTTGATAAATAAATAAGTAGATCAACAGTAGCCTGTAGTTGAAGAAGTTCAAGAAGTCTTCATCACTGTAGGTGAACAACTGTTACTAGTACTTCTCGAGTTGTTCCTTTCCCAAGCCACTTTAACTGACTTACTGGTCTAGACTTTCTAGTGTGGCCAAGCATGTCGACCTTGGCAAGATACACAATGCAGGTCTAATAAGTCTGATAGGGGTTCCACTGGGGCTGGTGGAACCTCTACAATAATACGAGTAGGCTACATATTATTTTATGGCTGGCCAGATACCAGCTTTGCACGTGTACGAGTCTGGTGAGAAACTCATTCAAGTGTGCACTTTGTTTGTTTGTTTGTATTCTTTAACGCTTGCGGAGACTAAAAAAAAGCAAATTAATTTGTCTACAACTAACTTTTACTTGACAAGGCAAGAAGAACAGCTACATGTAGGAAGAAAGGAAAACAACTCAAAGGCCAAGATACTCTATGGCAGTACATGTATCATGTACTAGTATGTACCCCAGCTGAGTCTCACTGTATCAATCAGCTGTCCCCGGGGAAAATCGCACAAAACGTGGGGAAAAAACGCGGCATAATAAGGCATGATTTGCGGTAAATATGCGGTGAATATTATTGATATGCGGCAAGTTTGCAGTTGATATGAGACAATTTTCAGTGAGTATGTAGCGAAATCAATCAATTACAAGTCTCTGGTGTATTAAAGCACTCGTCATATTTGTGTATAAAGCCACCACGATGCATCGATGAGACGTTGCTGACCGAACAGTGCACTGTGTGCACGTGAAGTGCAACAAAAAAGTTCAAAATCGCGGAAAACGCGGTCTTTTAAAAAAACACGGCCGCGGAATCGCGATTTTCCCCGGGGACAGAATCAGGGAGCCGACTGTCGTAATCGTCAAAATAATACCGTTCTATTAAACTTACTTATTTTTGACGACTCCCTGGTATGATGACCGTATCAATCAACATGGGCAACACCATTATTATGCATGCACTTTTTACCGTTTCCTCTGAGACAAAAATGCGATAATACTCATAAAAAGGACACACTTCAGGCTCATTACAAACATCTTGAAAGTTTTTGTCTTAACAAGTATCCTTTCAAGCCTTCTCGTCAGGTGAAATACAGGCAAGGGAAAAGGAACAGGAACAGTGGATTAAATACAGTAAAAAAAAAAAAAAAAATGTCACGGTTCGCGTGAGACTCGGCCAAAGGCCCAGTTTTCCGCATCCGCAGGAACGCCACCACCCTCTTGGATCAAGGCGCAGATGCAGCTCCTAAACGGTGGGAGGTGAGTAGATCAGACCCACCACAAAGTGGTCAAAGACCGAAATCCCATTCACTGCATCCATGTTTCCCTCGTGCCAGGCCACGAGTTCCCAATTAACTGTGGGTCGCAGCACGGCTGGAAAAAATCCTTCCGCTTCCAAGCAGGACTTGAACCTGGTACCCTCTGTTTCTCAATCATGGTCTTAGACCATCCCAGTAAGAAGGTGGTAAAACAGCGCAAAAAAGAAGATAGCTAAAGTAAACAGCGAAAATTGCAATAATGACACAAAGGTGCAAATGCTATCTTTAGCTATCTTCTTTTTTGCGCTGTTTTACCACCTTCTTACTGTATTTAATCCACTGTTCCTGTTCCTTTTCCCTTGCCTGTATTTCACCTGACGAGAAGGCTTGAAAGTATACTTGTGAAGACAAAAACTTTCAAGATGTTTGTAATGAGCCTGAAGTGTGTCCTTTTTATGAGTATTATCGCACTTTTTACCCTTTGACTTCGTCCAAAAGAATCAACAGGGGGGCCGCGGGGGAGTCGTAAAGCACCCGGACATGTACATGTATTTTACGACTCCCTGATCATTAGACATGGTTAGCATTTTACCGTTCACATGGTTCATGGGGCCGGGGGACTTCATGCTAAATCCAACAGTACTCGTACCCAACACCCAATACACCATCGGTTTGGTATCTTTTCGACGATTAGATAGAAAGCTCTGTTTTAATAGCGGGAGAACGAAACGGTAAGATTCCAACTAGGGTTACGTCACAAGTCGATCGTAGTGTCAGAAACCGAGATGCTAACGATGTCTTGAAAACACACAAAAACGGTACTTGTACATACATGTGCATGTATACGGTACAATCAAGTTAACAGGCCGACTGTCGAAATTAGCGTGAAAGGTAAAATGCTAACCATGTCTATTACCAATAGTACATGTCATGTACTCCTGCTGACCTAAAAACGACTGACTGTTTATATCATCGGAGCACTTCTAAGTCTCATATTATCAAGACCGGCGAAAGCAGTTTTCAATTGGTCCAGCCACACCCTAGCCTGTCATACTTTGTGGATAATATGGAGGGTATGCACATGATCGATGACCTCCTCAGCATGCTGGCAGCGGGCACACGTGACATTGGTCACCGGGCCAAAAAGCTGGTCCGGCCATGGCCTGACAAACCGGACCGGTTCCACTGGGCCTGATATTGCAGTCATATTGAGAGGTTAGATGCAGTTCACAGTATACGAAAACATGTAATTATGTACAGCAGGCTATTGCTATCATAGCTAGGCTGTGGCGAACGGTCCATATTGTTAACCATAATTATGGCCAGTGTATATGGGAGAGAGAGATCTCTGAGTAGCTATCTACTCTTCACGATAGATACATGTATGTGTGCATGCTAAAGCTATCCAGCAGCTAGTAGCTTACGCAGAGCTAGTATACTACTATCACTAGTGTTAGGGGAGGGCAGGGATGGAGCCTAGAAGACAGACCTAAAACAACAAGGCATGAGCACAGAACAAAAGAAGGTGACCAAAAATATTCAGCTGGCTGTTACACAGAAAAATAGTCCATTCAAAGTACAAAAAGGGGTAAGAAAGCATACAAAACCCATAACCTCCATGAAAGAGTGAATGGGCATTAAGAGTAGGCAGTTTTGACATGACTTTCCACTGCAGCAGCACATCACGCAGAAAAAAGCAGGGCACAAAAGCATGGTGTCGTTTTTCCACATGGCAAAAATAGTGATAATAAAATGGCAAGCGGTGCTTCGCAAAATAAACTCAAGGGGCTATAGGCACTGTCGCTGAAAGCCGTTAAATATAGGTTAGAGAAAGAAGAAGGATCAAGAGAACTGGCCAAAGGCATATTTCAAATTACGCCACTGCATCACCGAATGACTTGATCAGTGGTCCAGCGTAGGGAACAGTTCGTTGACCGTTTGCACTAGGCGGTGGTAGTGCTGGAACCGAAGCAGCGGCGGCCGTAGGAGCAGTTAATTCCTTGATCGGAGGACCAGTGTATGGTGTAGTGAGCGGTCCAGCACTGGCACCGCGCAGTGTGGGCTCAGGGAACGCTGGTGGGACATTGCCGGGCAGTTCTCCAGTGAGCTCAGCGGGCTGCGGACTTTTCGCCTCCTCTTTCTGCGCCGCATCAGGCTTGGCCACCGCTTGCATTTCCGTGGAACGGCCTGCCTGTGCAGTTGAACTTGTGGAGAAAGGCCACCAGGATGAGGTCTCCTCAGCAGCATCGCCCTTCCCAGCCTTCTCATCGATCAAATTCAACTGTGCTTCCTCATCCGCCGCATTGTAGGTAGCAGAGTGAGGGCTCTTCTTCCTGAAAAGTCAACAAATCACAGTGAGACAATGCTGAGCACACCGCAACAGTGTGTGCACCTGAATGTATGAAGATATAGTCCAGAATTTAGAGGCCAGTGAAACAAATTAGATATTCACTAAGCTGGGAGCGGATGGTCAGTTATTGCCCAACTTATTGGTCACTGATGCAGCGGCCGCTGCAATCACAGCTGGCACCATCCGTGCAGACATCCCCACCCATTCTTCCATAATAACGTACTTCAGTGCTATTTCTACAGTAGCCCCAACATTGACAGTACAGAACGTCACACATCAGACAGACAGCCGCCAACAACAATCACAGTGCACTGTAGTGCGCAGGCATTGGCATTGAGCAATCCTCGGTAGATTCTCTGTCCCAAAATCTGATGCAGCCAGTCAAGTACCCCGGGAGACAAGCAAGTGAGTGATCAGCATCGGCAAACTTAGAACACAAATGAAATTTTTTCGCCTACAATGTTTACAATGCATTGCTCTAACCTGGTGCCCAAGAAGAGGAAAAAGTAGAAGGCACCCGTGCCAAACCAGGCACCACACGCCAAGAATATGGTGATGCCGAAACAGCCGAACAACGGCGGAATACTGCTCCTGTAATGGACACCCACACCCACACACAGGAAACAATATGCTAACCAGAAACAAAACACCAAATCTCACCGCAAACAAGGGAAACATAAACAGTGCGGCCTCTCCTTGCCACCTGACTACAAGCTAGACCAAAGACCCCTGGGGAAAGGAGCAACGAAAATGTATCATCTCCGGGGAATACTGGAGACCCTGCATTATGAGGAGATTGTTCATGCTTGCCAGTCATTATCGGGAATGCTTTCCGTTTGGTAGAGCAAACTATTGCTCGCCTCAACACTAATCCACTCTTCACAGTTACATCAATGTTGATACAATGTATCTGTGTAAGATGCAACATTCATTGCAAGAGTCAATGCAGCCCATAGCTAGCACAAAAAAATAACAACATGACACGACCTGCCCAATGTGCCGTTACAGCCATTACCCTGCAACATCACCCTTCCGGTGTGTGCCCAAATCAGTCAAGAAGAAAATGACAGGGCCTGCTGCAGAATGCTTCCTCGCAGTAAAAAAATCATAAAAACTTACATGCCATATAGGGCAGCCTTCTGCCATGGTTTGATGCGCGCAAGAAGCTGAGAGAAGCCCTCAGAGCAGTCGAAAAGACCTGCCACAAAGGATGCTTCCAGCAGAAGAGTGATGAAGCCGAAACACCTACAAGAAAGCAAAAACAAAAGGAGAATGTTTTTCTGCAAACCACTGGCAGTTTCTTTATGTAGCAAAACCACAACTTCACGAGGAACAGAGTCGAACTAGCAAAACGCACTTACAAGTACGAGTGTAGCTTTCACAGACAAGACACAGAATAGAAATTGGGAAAGCAGAATACCATTACAAAAGGAGAGATGCACTCTACTAAGCTGAACACCAAGAAAGATTCGACAAAAAATACTTATAAGGGCAAGGAAGACAATACACTTGAAATCTTTGGAATGGTGGCGTGATTCAAAGGAGTTCCCAGAGAGGATAACGAGCCATGGAGGGACATGCGATGGGAGTGCTCAGGGACTGTGAGAGGGTGCTCTTGCATTGCCATGCACACTGTACAGTCCACTTCAAAAATATAGACGCATGGTATTTTTGAAATTATTTCAAATTTGGCTGGAGCTTCTTGAGAATTTTTGCGGAATACTGCCTGGGGCCTTCCCCCAATTACTCTCATAATAGATTTTTAAGCAATCAGATAACTAACGCCCAATTTCAAAATTTCTATGCACAAAGTGATCACAGATTTTACGTGGTATAGATGCTGGCCGAACGTTTTTTTGAAATCACGCGTCTATGTTTTTGAAACGCACTGCAGAAGTACTTACATCATGTAGATTGCCCACTGAGGACAGGTGATGAGGTTCAAGAACCCAAACACCATCACAACTGCACAAAGACACCAAAAAAAGTGTATGCCAACATACCACAATCACCACACTATGCATATGGTAAGATCATGATGTGCGTGCATACGGTAAGACGTGCATGCATATACAGCAAGGATGTAGGTCGAGATTCGCAGAATTTGCCGTGGCCACGAGATCACACATTTCCGTGGGGACCTTTCCACCCGCAATCTTTCAACGTAGACCGCCGTTTTCATGACAGTAGTTTCATACGGGTGTTTATCCTGTAGAGTAGAACCCCCTCCCCCCCCCCCCCCCCCCCCCATTATCCGCAGGTGTCGATCCCCATTCACGAAAAAAAAGCAGAAGCACACACACACATGGGAGTTCACATGCACAGTGAAAATCGCAGGCAGTTAAACCTCGGTTATCCGGGACTCCCCATATCCAGGTACACGTACCCTGTAGGTACATGCAGTCTTATCTGGTATAGACAGTTTTTGGCGATCAGCTGAACTCCATGTACGTCATCCGGCACCAAACAGCCCTCAGCTCTTAGTGTGTGTGTATGTGCTTGTGAATGGAACCAATCTGGGACCAGTGAGCCTCAAGCAGTGTTCATAGCTGGCATGTGTACGCCTGAGACTACGCATTTGTATTTGTGCGTGTTTTTGCTGGCTCCAGAGGTGTCATGTGTATAGAAAGTTGGAAACGCGCTGAAATGGACATTTCAGCATGAATTCGTCAGCGCGTTTCAGGTGGGGTCCAAAAAAACAGTACTTGATTGCGTCGCACAACCTAAAATCGGCTCAAATAATTGCTGTTTTCAGTGAACGTCTTCATGCGCGTCTGGGCCTGCATCAACTGCAAATGTCACATGCACACATCCCAGTACCGGTATTTCTGAATTGCTGAAGATTCTGGGCAGCCTTCGGTCAGACGCCCAGAGAAAGGAGGTTTATTGTTTTTGCTAAGCTCAACGTGTTTCTGAGGATGGATCCGTCAGTGTGCGTTCACTTCTGTCTGATGATCAGCACATTCGGATACCGATAATTAGAATAGATTTCTTGTCGGGGATTTCGGGACTTTGTTCCGTCATGCACGTGATACCCTGGCGGTGCAACGTGACAATTTAGCTACGGCAAGTTCAAACTATTACTTACGGACGGCGGCAAATGATCCCCAGACACGTCCCAACAGCATCGAGCCGCAGCCAGGGCCGTTTTCATCGTCCTTGGCCCCGCTCTCAGCCTCCTCTTTCGTCCTTCCCAGAACGGCCGACTTCGCAATATCCCACATCGTGGAGGAAAACACGTCACGACGATGCACTCAGGACTATAGTAAGATCGCCTCTCTTCTCTTCCTTTGGGGTATCAGCCTAGGTTAGATCAGTCCTCTCGGCTTTCTTCAAACAAAAATCCTCAATGTCCACAGGTTGAAACAACCTCTATGAAAAGGAACGGATCGATCAGTGAAGAAACAAGGCAGACGAGTCCCGTAAACACCAATCCTATTGGAAAAGAAGTAAGAACTGACTTCAGCTCAGGCAGTAGAGATACTGTACTTGACTGACCTGAGTCAGAGAACAATGGCCAACACCAGGCACAACAAAAAAACTATGGATGTAGATCTACGGAAGATCAAGAAGCCGACTCGACAGCAAGCATTCATGAGATGCCAGATGATGTGTGGGTCGAAATCTACTGCCACGCTTTTGGTGATGTCATCAAAAGTATCAACGTATTTGAATTTTTTTGAATGACGCAATGGCAGGGAGTAGTAAAATACCGGTATTTTACTACTCACCAGGAAAGAACAGAAAAATATGCCAAAGCCAGGGAGTGGTATTTTACGACTCCCTGGCCAAAGCCAAGGCATGCCATCCATGTCGTCTTTGCAGAGGCCGAGGTACTACTACTACTAGTACTACTAAGTAGTAAAGTACTAGGTAAAGGAGAGATCGCGCAAGACTGGCTAGTACTACAGTCGTCCCTCTCTAATCCGGCACCTTTTGCTACGGCGTTTTCTGCTGAGGGTGCTGGATAGGGCTTGAAAGTGCTACGTCACAGCATAGCAACAATTTCAAAAATTCAAAAATTGGATCCACTTGGATCCAGTTTTTGTATGGATCCAAGCACATTTCAAGCCGTCTTACTCACAGCAAGGTGATGTAACCAGTGAAACTGACTGATTTGGCTACTGGAGGCGGGGTTACAACTGGTGGCGAAGTAAGGGCCTGGTCAGACTGCGGCAAATTTTGGTTGCCTGACGAAAACAGAACAGCGTCCAGAATTTGAATCGCGATCACACTACAAATGTGGGGAGAGTGAAAATTCAAACTTCATTTCGAGCGTCAAGTGGTAATCTCCACGAACGACGTCAAATTCCTTCACCTTGGGGATCGCCAACACCTTCAGTGCAATCCTTGCAACCATCCTTATGAGTTTTGTTGTTGTCCGTGGCCAATTAGCTCTTCGATATCGAGATGAAAAAATCAGTGATTATCAGCGTCAATGGCGTATCAGCGTCAAATCCTGTTTGGAGCGGAAAAGCGTGGTCCGTTCTTGCTTTTTTTTTGGAGCGTCAACTCTCACTTTTGCCGCTCTGGCGGCAAGTTACTATGGAGATTCGGATTATAATCCTAGGATTATTTCGATTTTGCCGCAGTCTGACCAGGCCCTAAAGCTGTGTTCACAACTGGCGCGTGGACGCGGTACGCTTGCGGTTCATGCGCCCCCAAACGCGCGCTCAGCCTTTCACAAAAAACAGCAATCCGAGTCGTATTTAGCACCTTCGAGTACTAATTTTTTGACCCCGCCAGTCAAGTGACTGGCATGTACGCTGATACGCGCCTGATACGCGCTGAAAATTCCAACATGTTGGAAGTTCCATTTCGGCGCGTTTCCGTACGCATGGCGCCCCAAAAGCCAGCAAATATACGCACAAACGCGTGGTTTCACGCGTACACGCGCCAGTTGTGAACACAGCTTGAGGCTGTGTTTACATGAGGCGTTTCAACCCGGGTTGAGTTCGACCCGGGTCAGATTTCAACCCGCCATGTGCACAAAGTGAATGGCGCGTTTACATGACGCATTGCGCTTGACCCGGGTTGAAATTTCGCCCCGGGTTGATTTCAACCCTCCCCCCAAGGGGAGGGTTGAAACCAACCCGGGTCAAGAAAATCGTACAAACGTACTTCTGTGCGTATCTCGCGCCAGGTTTGAACAGCACTGCAGATGCAAATTTCGCGCGAACGGATTCACGTGACCATGCAGGACTGTAGAAGTGGACTTTTGGCGGCATATCAGTATTTGACCCGGGTCAACTGTCTTCATGTAAACGCTCACCTCTTTTGTCTGTCGTACAGACTTTCAACCCGGGCTGAACTCGACCCGGGTTGAAACTTCTCATGTAAACACAGCCTTAAAGTCACCCCTGCATACGACATGAGTGGGTTGCTATGCACCCACATACTGAGGCAATAGCAAAGTCACACCTTAGTGGATCCAAAATAGAAATCTGATGTCAACTTAGTACTCCCTGGCCGTTTTTGACGTCATCACTTTCAAGCCCTATTAAGAAATCCTGCCCTCTGACCCGGCCCTACCCAAATGTATCATATGTACGTCAAAACGCAGGGTTTTTCCGTGTCGACCCAAGTATTTGGTGCACGGCTTTATATTCTCAATTGTTCTCCGAGAATATACACAGTGATAAAGTGATAAAGTAAAACAGAGAACATGTTCACATTCACTCTTGCACACACACACACACACCTGAAAATTGGCAGGACACTACTCCTTGCTAAAATAAGAAAGTATGGTTGACTGCCGTTGTCTCCTGGACAACATTGACCAGACTGGCCTAGCCTGGAGTGCACCTGTGCGGTATGCGGTTTACGACTGCCGGATTATGAAATCAAACTACGTGCAGTTTGAGCGATTCGTTTCAAAAAGTCACTGCCGGAGGCGGAATTCAAGTGCCGGATTAAGATGTAGGAATTGAACGAAAAAAATTGGTTTCGTCAGAAAGTGCGCCGGTTGGCAAGGGTTCCGGATAAACAAGTGCCGGATTAGAGAGGGACGACTGTACTACTAGTAGTAGTAGTACTAGTACTGTAGTAGTACTAGTACTAGTAGTATGAGCCTGGCTAGGCTGAGCGGTTGTTGCCAGTGACCATGGTGACCCCGGGAGTCCTAGCCTTCTGCTGCATGCTGCTGCTGCCGTTGTTGTTGTAGTTGTTGTCGTCGTTGTCGCCGTCGTCGTTGTTGGGATTCCTACATGTACCGCCCGGTATATCCACTATGAAACAGTGTTCAACACCATGGTAGGCAGTCTGAGAGCTTCCTTACAAAGAGCATGACCTTAGGCTTAGTGCAGTATTCTCTAGCGAATACTGATTTGTACACTACCGTGACGGCATGCAGCTAGCAAACAGATCTATTCCGCCATCCACCAGTGACCTATCCAGACCTGATTCCATGGAGTCAGGTCATGCAAGTGGTTACAGTGAAACCTGTCAAGGCGACCACCTGTCCAGCCACTACAAACGGGACCAAGGGATGTTGTCACCAGGGAGTAGTAAAATACAGTATTTTACTACTAGTACTCCCTGGTTGTCACTCAAGTTCCAGTCAAATGACCCTGGATAAGGGCACCTGTACACAGCGACCAAACTGTAAGGCCCCGGCTTGAGCGGTCGGCTTAGACAGGCTTCACAGTACTACATCTACATGTAATAATTATTGTAATATTAAACCAAACACCTGTGCACTTGTGTATTTTTAAAACGTCGCACCAAAAACAGGCGGTTTCGCCTCCTTTGATACATGGGGGCGACAAGTGTGGCGGCAGAGTCTTGCATTTTTAATTTTTTTCCACCACGACTGTGTACGGCTGCTAACAATCATTGTAGAATAGTCCAAGACTGAAGTGGTACATAGGGCGCAGTCACCCAGTTTCGGTGGAAGTGCGCGAGTTCGATTGGGATTCAAGTAGGAAGGGAGCGTCTCAGCTTTCTCGGACCAAGACCATTCGACTCAGCACCCCGAAGACTACAACTGGTGAAATTTTATTTTTTGCTTTAACTTCCCCTTTAAGGTGTGAAACCCGAAGGTTTTGGCGCCGGCAACCTTGCTAACCTTGCCGGTATGTTATGTGTAGGTAGCAACTTGTTGCTGCACAGCCACAGGGTAGACAGCTAGCAGCTACACGGTGAAACTAGCGGCTAGCACCACAAAACACAACAGGCTTTCGTGCGCAACGTGTACCTAAATAATTAATTCTTTCGCCCGTGGATAAAGGCAGCAGATGGAGCGGGCCGGGCGATACTACTTGTAGTAATAATCAAGAGTACACGTCATGTACATAATGTACTCTTGGTTATATCCATGGACGGTTCGGGGCCCAACGTGATCTGCTAGGGAAAGCGCTTCAGGCTCCTGCATGCATATGCGCATTCCAGACGGCGATGAGGCCTGGCGGGACACCAATAACTGCTGGAGGCTAATTCGCACCATGTGGGTTGTGCACAACAGTAGTTTTAAGCCCAGACTGACTCAGTCTACTGCATGATATCAAGAGTACATAATGTGTAACCCCGAGGTTATGTACTCTTGATGATATTGACTGTTTCTAAAGTAAAGACCTGCAGTGCTAGCTCATCATCCGTTTCTTGCACGTGTAGCAAGTCAGTTACTGTCATAGGTATCAGTGAAGAGTAACGGAACCAATGACCCTCCATTGGTACCGGTACACGGCATTCCTTGGCTTGGGCGGCCATGGCATGATGCATTCGATATCACCACACGTTGTGGTAGCACTGTCTTCTCTCCCTATGGTATCATGTTCAGTTCATGCCAGGAGAGTCGTATTGACCACCATTTCTGGGCTATAGAGAGGGCCACAGTTTTTTTGTTTTGTTTTTTACAGTTGAGGGTAACCCGGTCTAACATCAATCTATATTCTATACAGGGCCGGCCTATAGATTGAGAGAGAAAGAGAAAGGGAGGGAGAGAGAGAGAGAGAGAGAGAGAGAGAGAGAGAGAGAGAGAGAGAGAGAGAGAGAGAGAGAGAGAGAGAGAGAGAGAGAGAGAGAGAGAGAGAGAAAGGAAGAGATAAAGAAAGAGGGAGAAAGAAGGAGAGGGAGAGGACTGGTCGTGTATAATCATTGCAGTGCATGTGATGTCAGGCGTTTGTTGGCCGCCATTTTCTGACCACATGTAGTTATCAGGATGGAGACGTACGACTCCCTGGTTATCAGCTGCAACAACAGGTGGCCTGGTGGCGATACGACACTGCTACATGAGAAAGTAATACCATTAACCGCGACGAGGTGGCCTGGTGGCGATACGACACTGCTACATGAGAAAGTAATACCATTAACCGCGACGTGTTGGTCGTCAGGCCAGAACACAACCACCACACCATTGGCATGGTGCGTGTGTGGAACAGATCGGATCTGCCACGCACCTAAGTCCTTGTAATTGTACTTGTATAGCGCATAGGCCATAGCGCCGGCAGACCGTTTCATACGGCCAACCTAGACCGCAGGGTTCAGTGAGGCTGCTGCTACACAGAGACAAAGTGCATAACATAACCATGATAACAGCGCCACTAGCTCGGCACAAAGCAAGTAGAAGTGAAGCATCCAACATCATATCCATTTTGGAAATACACTTGTACTGGTTCATGACATACAGCTGTGGCACGGTTACCGGTACGTGGTATGTGTTCGCTTTGCTAGTGATCGAAAATATCTGCATGACATTGTCTTTGCACAGGGTGGACTGAATCCAAGCTGCACAATGTGCTGTCGTATTGACTCAATGCATAGGGCAAAATTGAAGGCACGACTAGGGAATATGAGCTGAGTTTCGACATTGTAGCTTCCTTCGGAGCACCGCGGGTACGGCAGTGATACTTGGCTGAAGTCAACTCTCAATCTGCTCTGTGGGACACGTCCCTTGTGACCGCAATCAGGCAGGCTAAGCCGAATGTAGCATGCGTTCTGATTGCCTGATGCTCGACAGTCGCTGATGGTGGTGTACGTGTGTGGTCCTGTCTGATATGCAGTGTTGGAACCTCACACGACATACCTTCTGATTTGCTGAATGTCTGTGTGATCGTGGACAAGTCACAAGGCACCGACAGTATGCAATGGAGTGCTTGTTGTACATGGACTGAGTTTGCCGGTGTGAAGTGCAGAGTTACCACTCTGACATTCGGTTTGTCACCTCGTCCCTAGACCTGGTCAAGTCTTTGCATCTGTTCTGAGTCTGCTACCAAGTCTCCATACCACTAATCATAGCCTGAATCCGCAGTGACAGTCGCGTCCACTGCATGCAGACCTCGCCTTTCGCCTGCGGTGAGAACCGTGTTTGGGTGGCTCATGCAGAGTGGGCGCAGGATCAGAGTCAGGCAGGACCCACCGTCCTATCTCAGTAGTCTTGACACGCAGCTTCAGTAATAGGTTCATGCTTTTGACGCCTACCAGTGCAATGCCATAAAGCACTAGCGCCTCGCTCCTCCTTTCACACTGTCTCTGCTGGGCTGCTGTCTCCCGGGGTAGTAATTCCTATGCTCTCGACGTTGATGCATGCATGCTCGTGACGAGAAGGTGTTGACAGTCTGAGACTGAGCAGTGCCAGTAGTGCGCATTCTTTGTGACCTCCAGAATGATTTCACTCCAATACTGAGATAGCGTTTGGGCGAGGTGGTGCACTCATGTAACTGAAGCTAGCACGCCGGACAGAGAATGTTGTTTTTCAGTTGAATCGATTCAAGACCCAAACTCGTCGAGGATCCCTTTCTCCTCGTCGTGGTGTCAGGGTGCACCGTTTCTAGTTTAGCTGAGCACACGTACCGGAGCACAGAGACTTGAAGCCGGCAAGATGAGTAATCAACACTTCCTGAGCAAGACGATCGTCATGCCCACCTCCTCCATGACTAGTGTGGAGAACATTGGTAGTACCAGCGGTGATTCCAGTGTTGTTGCTGGTGCCGGGGCTGCTGGTGGTCGTCCCGCCAGTGTACCCTCGATGCCGACACGCCGCGAGCGACGCATGAGAGCAACGTCGGCCTCGAGTGGCCTGGCCGACGTCGAAGCCAAGAAAAAGAAGAAGGGCTGGGCGCCCATTCGAAAGATGAAGCGCTTCTTCTCGCGCGGGGAGGACCTGGACGAGGCGCGAGCTCCGGGTGAGCTGGCGGACCATGCATTCAATCATGGGAACGTGGTCAAGTACAAGCCGGGACCGGACAGCCTGCACTCAGGCCGAAACAGGCATCACGTCCATGGCCACAGCGCCTCTGCGCCCGTGCCGATGTCCCCGAGTGACTTGCAGCGGGTCAGGACCGAAAGCAACGGTGGCACGGCTACTGCTCCTGCGTCACCGTCCGCCACCAACGCTGGTGCAGCTGGTCAGTTCAATATTCCCGACGGCAGGTTCTTTCGACACAGTCCGTCGATCGACCGTGCTCAGCAATTCTATTCATCAAGCGAGCAGGTTAGTAGCTCGGCCGAGGCAACATGCAACACGCCGACGGAAGACAGGCGGGGCAGTGCCAATGGAGAGGCAGATAGCGCCCCTCACTCGCCGACCAAGCAGAAGACGACCCTGAAGTTCAGCAAGACTGCGGCACAGCAGACCCAGGGCAAGAGCGCTTCGAACAAGATATTGAGTAAGTAACAAAGCTAGTTACTAAGTAAGTTAGCGATCGTGTTACATGTACTTGTTGTTTCGCGGACGAACACAGCATACAAGTAACGCCTTTCTACAACCCATGCCACTTTTACCATTTTGGTCAGGCTAGTCAAGTCTTGTAATCTTTCATTAGAGCGCACATGCCTATTATTAAGAAAGGGAGGAAACTAAACACAAACGAGACAATAACGTTAGTACAGCAGTCAGTGGACTTGTAGACGTTACCCTGCAAGAGCTATGCAGGCGAGGTGTGGAGCACTACCCTCATCAACAATCATGTACAAAGGCACACACCATGAGGGAGGGGGTGGGGACTGGCGTTGGGATGAGCACAGTCCACGTGTCCATGTGCATTACTATAACAGATCTATCGTAGTGGTAATTGGTATGCTAACTTAGCTAAAGCTTTTGCCATTGAAGACAGTGAAAAGCTGCCGACAATTCCATCATTTCCATGCACATTTTCCTTGACATGCCATCGCATCAAGTACAGTAGGTATCGGTTATAGCGTGGGTGTTTGAAAAACGACATTTGATTCTTATTGCCGATATTTCTTACACACGATAAATCACGTGTGACATAATACATGTTTGGCATGTGGACACGTACAATCATGTAGGTCCACACAATCATGATACACACGGATCAGACTCGCGGTCGTGCTAGGCGACTGCGGAGCAGCAGATAGGAGAGAAGTCGGAAGAAAGAGTCCAACTGGACAGAAAAAGTGATTCTCCAATGCTCAGTTGGACATAACTCTCTTTTTGTGTTGAATATTATTGTATTGAGCATGCACAGAGCACAGATGTTATTACTACAGGCGATACATTTTGCACTAATCTGGCATATTTTGCTACACAAAATCCATTCTTAGGGCCGATATATTCTACTATGCAATAATACTGCTTGTAAGAATAAATATACACATAAAATAGGTGTTATGATTATGAAAAAATGAGTGTTCATTCTTGTAGGCAGTATATTCTTGTATACGACCACACTATAACCGATACGCACTGTAATTAGTTACACCATGCAAGAGAGACCTGTACGAGTACCGAACCTGTTCCGGTGCCAGTTACGAGGCTATACAGCAGCCTTCACGAGCACAAAGCCTCATTCATGGTCAACAACTAGTAGCTTAGCCTGCAGCTTTCCTTTGAGAGACACAAAGGCACTATGCCATATGGCTCTCCAAGCAGACGAATGCAATGTTTCCAATCCTGTCCTTTGTCCATTTTTCATGATTTTGCAGTGGAAAAGCCGAATACATGTAATACACTGCAGTATGCACAACGAGTGTAATGAACACTAGGTGTACATGGACACCTTCGCCTGCATGGCGTGACATGCGTGTGTGTATGTGTGTATGTGTGTGTGTGTCTGTAAGTGTATGTATGCGTATGTGTGTGTTTGTGTGTGTACCGTATTATCTCTAATATAAGCACGGTCCTTTATTTTTTCAATGTACCTCCGCCCCGTGCTATTAATGGAGACGTTCCTTTATTGGAGACTGTTCCATTATTATTTCAACCTCATTTCAGAGGCATGTTGCCATGCCAAATTCATGTCAGACACACACATTTCAGGGTTTTTTCGCCGGTACAGATAATGAATTTACACAGTGTGCTTATAATGGAGACTGAGCACTTTATTTTTTGAATGCCGCCCCAAGGTGTTCTATTATTGGAGACGTGCTATTATTGGAGACGTGCTATTATTGGAGACTGTGCTTATAATAGAGATAATACGGTATGTGCATTTCCTTGTTTGTTTCTCTGGTTCAGATGAAGATCTTGGAGACCTCCCCATTCGCCTGACCGTCAAGCGGATAACAAAACTCAAAGGCAAGCCTTGCATGACATGTCGCACAGTTGATAATGCACTGCAGAGATCATGATTACCTACTCTGTACATCATACAGCACTTGAGCAGCACTTGAGCAGCACTTGAGCAGCACTTGAGCAGCACTTGAGCAGCACTTGAGCATGTACGGAATAACTATCACTTGATGCCCAGTTGGGATGGCTGTCATTTTTTTGGCCAAGCAACGGAAAAGAAAACACTCGGAAACTAATCGTACTTCCTAAATTCCTATCCACTCCAAAGCCTGGCAGAGTGCCAAATCTACTGCCATCGCTGATGCCATGCATCTAGGTTTAGGATGTATAAATAGCATTCCACTAGTTCATCTTGTTTTAATCTTCACACCTCCACTACATGTACATGTATGTAACACAGACCGAAACGAAGATCCAACCGTCAACGCACGTGATGTGGTGGTCGCCAAAGGTCAGACTGGCTTAGGGATGACGCTGGCTGGCTCCAATCCCGTCATTGTAATCAAAGTTGAGCACGGTACGTCCATTTTGCTCTGGCTTAGCGCATGGAACCGACTTTCATGTATGACATCATCTCTTATATGCATTGGCGTTATAAGTCTGAGAGAAAGAGAGCGAGTGTGTGTGTGTGTGTGTGTGTGTGTGTGTGTGTGCGTGCGTGCGTGCATGCGTGCATGCGTGCATGCGTGTGATACCTTAGTGATCTTAGTCACTTGGTGTTCATGTATGGATCACGATGTGAGAAACCATGCATGAATGATTGGATCACGATGTGAGAAACCATGCATGAATGACTGGATCATGATGTAAGAAACCATGCATGGTCATGTATGGATCACGATGTGAGAAACCATGCATGAATGACTGGATCATGATGTGAGAAACCATGCATGGTCATGTATGGATCATGATGTGAGAAACCCCGTGTGAATGACTGGATGCACGGTTAAAGTTGCCAAAGGTCTTTGATTACTAGTAACCAACATTTGGGCAATTACATAATAATATCCTCATGGGCCATTTCCAAAGCAGACTATTCACAATGCCTTGTTGTGTGCAGATTGTCCGGCTGAGCAAGCTGGCATTCTCGTCGGAGATATGATTGTGGCCGTGGCAGACATTGACGTCCGTAGCTCCACGCAAGCGCATGTGAACCGAATGATTACACTGGGTAGGTACATGCTGACTTTCACTGTGTGTGTGTGTGTATGTGTGTGTGTGTGTGTGTATGTGTGTGTGTGTGTGTGTGTATGTGTGTCTGTGTATGTGTGTGTGTGTGTGTCTATTTGCGCGTGTGTGTGTGTCTATTTGCGCGTGTGTGTGTGTGTGTATGTAGTTGTGTGCGTGTGTGGGTGGGTGGGTGTGTGTGTGCATGTGTGTGTGTGTCGGTGTGTGTGTGTGTGTGTGTGTGTGTGTGTGTGTCGGTGTCGGTGTATGTATGCATGTGTGTGCGTGTTCGTTTGTGTGTAGGGGTGTGTGTCCCCTATCATTATTACACACGATGGAAATCAGATTGTCAGCAAATTAAAGCTACCCGGAATGTGATGTGCAAGATAGTTGTCCTTGCCCTTATCACGTCATGTCGTTTTAGATAACACCGTAGCTCTGCACTGATAACACACCTAGAATTAGACACAGTAGGCTGAGCTATGGTGATATTGTAAAGACCTCGCCCGCGGTGGACTGCACCCATCCCTATGTTCTGACACTGACCCCATGTTGAATACCCAAGTATTCTGGCTGTGTGTGTGTGTGTGTGTATGTGTGTGTGTGTGTGTGTGTGTGTGTGTGTGTGTGTGCGTGTGTGTGTGTGTGCGTGTGTGTGCGTGTGTCTGTGTGCAACCCCCGGCTGTGTGTCCACACCCGGCCAATAACTCTAATGATACCTTTCTCGCCGATGTACATGTACACGCTAAATCCACTTCACTAGCGGACACGTGCGTTTCTATGGTTACATTGTGTATTTCTGCTGGTCTGTGACTGTCTGTGCCTGTTACTGTGACTGTGTGTATGCATATACGTCTTGGCTATGGGATGGTTCAAACGCTGGCCTTTCAGCAAGCAAGTCATCCAGCCAGCCCGCAGCGGTAAGCAATCATAGCAGACACGTTTTAATTAAAGTGTACTTTTAGCACTAGTTTCCATGTACAGTGTCATCCTGATGTTCATACCGACACTGCAAGATTGGGTTTCGGGAGGAGAGACAGTAGAAGAAAGTGGAAACATGGAAAATGGAGTACATGAAATGGAATGACTTGCTGAGAATTGCTCACGAGACCTTTTCCTCTGACCTTCAATGTCACTCTTCAGATGTCATGTCTTAGCGCATGACCTCCTCACTCTTTGAAGGGCAACATGAAGGATGCATGGCATTGTGGCCATGAAGTTCAAGCCGTATCTTTTCCCCATTACCTCTGCATTTTTGACAATACCGCGGCCTAACATTCCCATTGGTGCGACGGCCTTTCGAGCAGTTTGTGAGCAGATTGTGAGCAGATCGTGTGTGCCATTGTTGTGCTGTTGCCTGTCCAGAGTTCTGAGGACATTGCAGATGATGTGTGGAATAGGGTACAATCCATGCAAGATCGCCTGGACGGCGGGGCTGCCGTTCCCAGCACCACCCTGGAGAGCGCTGCCGTGAAGAGCACTCCAGCTACACGACAGGCAGGGCACACGGACATGGTCAGCAGCACTGATAATACCCCTGCACCTATCCCCGTCAGGGCTGCACCTGCGACCGCTGTAGAGCCGAGGAGATCGCGACGAGTCAGCCTCGACCTCACCTCCGACGTGGAGCTAAGCGACAGCACAAGCAAATCAGCCACGCCGGACAGCGTGAAGAGTTTCGGATCACCACGCACTGTCGCTGCAGCCACTGAATCTCTCCCGGGTGGCCAGACTGTGCAAGAAGCAAGTCCTCAGGATGCTAATACTAGCAGCGTCGATACACCAACGTCAGTATCCGCCAAAACGTCCGGATCACCAGCCCGTTTCAAAAAGAACCAAGACAATGGCTCAGGAGGTGAGTGGGATATCAACACCAATAGTCGGTGGCAAATGGCCAATGATAAAAATCATCTGAGATCTGCAATGCAAACTGTTTCTGTTGCTGTGTTAGCCTCGCGAGCCGAGGAATGAATAGTCGAAGCGAAGGGCAGAATTCCTCAGATTGGGAGGAGTATGATGGTGTACACGGGTTTTCAAAACATTTAATGATATACAGTAAAAACGTGTTTTAAGGCGACTGGCCATTCTGATAAGGTGACTACTTGACCCATAGGACGACTACAACTTGACTAGCTCAAAGGGGTGTTATTTCCAGTCGAATGACCCTGGATAAGGAGACCAGGGTGTTATTTCCAGTGGAATGACCCTGGATAAGGAGTGTTATTTCCAGTCGAATGACCCTGGATAAGGAGACCAGGGTGTTATTTCCAGTGGAATGACCCTGGATAAGGAGACCAGGGTGTTATTTCCAGTCGAATGACCCTGGATAAGGAGTGTTATTTCCAGTCGAATGACCCTGGATAAGGAGACCAGGGTGTTATTTCCAGTGGAATGACCCTGGATAAGGAGACCAGGGTGTTATTTCCAGTGGAATGACCCTGGATAAGGAGACCAGGGTGTTATTTCCAGTCGAATGACCCTGGATAAGGAGTGTTATTTCCAGTCGAATGACCCTGGATAAGGAGACCAGGGTGTTATTTCCAGTGGAATGACCCTGGATAAGGAGACCAGGGTGTTATTTCCAGTGGAATGACCCTGGATAAGGAGACCAGGGTGTTATTTCCAGTGGAATGACCCTGGATAAGGAGACCAGGGTGTTATTTCCAGTGGAATGACCCTGGATAAGGAGACCAGGGTGTTATTTCCAGTGGAATGACCCTGGATAAGGAGACCAGGGTGTTATTTCCAGTGGAATGACCCTGGATAATGACCCTGGATAAGGAGACCATCTGTACACGTGTACCACATTGTGAAGGTCTCTGGAGCGGTCGGTCATGATGGGTTACATTGTACAGATGCTTTGTCTTTTTTGTTTGAATAATTGCTTCACAGCCGTGACTTCATTTTCTATTCTAATACGCACTGTGTGTGTGTGCCTGTCTCTCCTCTGTCCACCTGTCCACCCGCCCTTCCGTCCGTTCGTCCATCTGTCTGTTCACGCCCATGGATTGTATGGTTCCTCCTGTGGATCCAGCAGGACTTGGCGTGCTTATCCGGCAGAAGTCCAGAGTAAGTATATGGACGTAATGTGTTAGCTCAGGGCTGCCGAGTTTATCAGAGATATGCGTAAGACTGGCTAATTAATGGCATTGCTGTATACAGTGTACAAGCTGCTGTGGTGCCGATGCATGTCAACACAACATGACTATACCAAGTAGTTATCCTAGAGACGTCAGAGGTCATACATGTACTTCGTTATGTGCAAATTCCATCCAAATATGGGCAGTCCCTTTCCATCGTGGAAATCCGTTCTAGATTTATGAACCCTGACGCCCTCAGAGTTATTACGAATTGCGCTGTAACTCCCTGCTGGCCTGAACGACACTGGATGACACTGGGTTTCATTACTAAAGATTGTCTGTAGAATGACTCCATGTTCTTCTTGTACATCATGCACGCAGTAAGCTGACTCCCATACTCTGCTGCGTTATTTGCGTAGAAATTGCGCGCTCAGCGGATCAGTACTGGGATGGTGGATGAAAGCAGTGTACTGCCAATATCATTGGAGACCGATGAGGTAAGTGTGATCACCACCGGGCAATAGAACACGATGTGTCCCAAGGCAAGGGTCTGTGTTTCCAATGGACACCATTGTACAGTAGACGCCCAGCACTGAAAGTGGACATGAGGAACATATGCCATACGATTTCTGACCTGTCGTGTGGTTTGTGCAGGATCAAGAAATCTTAGATCTCATCAACAACCGGCATTCCCTGCTGCTGACCGAGGCCGTAGAGCGATGCCACCGTGATCGCCTGGACGAGAAGCAAGTGGACGAGTACATATCCGAGGGCGAGGGCGAGAGCGACGGCCACGACGCATCCAGCGGATGCACACCGCGCTCGGGCTTCTCCACGCCCGGGTCTGAGGACGGCGTGGTGGACAGCAAGAGTGCGCCGACGACGCCGACAACTCGGCGGCGAGTGAAGGTGCGGCGCAGCGAGTCGCACAAGGGATCTGCGGTGATAGTGAAGCAGAAGTCTGGCCGTGTGCTGGCCGCCCCTCGGCCGAGACCTTCCATTCTGCCCGGAGACATAGCGGCCAGGCTGGTGGATCCGAAGCGGAAAGCCAATCCGCACGTTGATTCAGGTTATGCCTCCATCCACCAGGATGACCTGGACACGGACAATCTTGAGCAGGCACTTGTTGCCGCCGATGTGAAACTCTCAGGAAATGCGCATTCCCCTGTGCATGGAGACAATGCCGAGCGGGATAACTTGGCACACACAACCGTGGTCGGTGGTGCAGAATTGAGCGCACAGCAGTCGGCACCACTTACAGCCAAACGAGACACTCTCATACCGGACAAGCATGGTGCACCTGAAGCAGTGAAGTTATCTCCTGGAAGGACGACGGGACCCTCGTCAGTCTTTCCTAGGAGCGTGGCACAAGCTGGAAAGCCTGGTGTGCGTCGTACCAAGAGCATGTTAGTGACTGGAAACGCTCAGAGTCCATCTGCTGCGGCCGCTGCTGCCGCCTACAGAGGAGGCAAGAAGACATCCGTGGACACTATGAGCACTCCACCATGGTAAGCCATCAATCATGGTTCCACTTGAACGCGAGGTTGTACATCATGATGTGCACTGCATGCCACTCTTGAGTCATAGTGCAATTATCGACTTTTTCGTGCAGCCAAAAGTCCCCCCCAAAACCGTTGCTGAATTTTAGATGCCAAGCAGCTCTGCTGTAGGGTTATTGGCACGGTACTACTTATACAGGGAATTGTGCGCAGACCCAGCCAAGTTCATCTCTCTTTCATTGCTATCTCTTACAGAATTGTGCTCAGACTGAGCCAAGTTCATCTCTCTTTCATTGCTTTCTCGTACCATCCAAATTGCTACCTCTTAGGAAGTTGGAGTTGCAACGGCAGCGAGAGGAGAAAGAGAGGGAACTGGGTGACAAGTTGGCTGGTCTCCCAGCTTCCAACACACCACCAGCAGTGGCTAAGCCCGGCCTAAAGCGAATGAATTCAGCAAAAATGGTCGCCTCAGCTGCAGCCAGAAAGGTAATTGCCAGTTCTTTTCTTCATTTCATACTACTTTCTTTACCGGAATGGTTGGCTATTGTCCCCTCCCAACACACTGCACTGCACGGCCTTAAATACTACCTGGCTATGGGGAGGTGAAATAAATTAATGGATAAATTGACTTTGCCCTTCATGAATATGCCCCAGATCTTTCATCACCCAGTGACAATTAGCTCTTACCCTCTTCTTGTCAGTGCCTTGTGTTGCGTACTATCCCACATACATCCTGATGTTCTTCAACATTTTCAGTCCTTTCCCGGATGTCTTATCATTATACATGGGTTCTAGTAACAGTTACACAACACAGGCCCGTCGCACTGACTTTGGAGGTGGGGCGGCCATGGCATGCGGGTCCGGGGGCCTTCCCCCGGGAAAAATTTCAAAAATTGAAGCCAACTGCAAGCATTTCCGGGCATTTGGTGCCATTTCAGTGTAACTGTTAACTACTCAAGTACAATGAAAGACGTTTTGATTCTGCAACAAACCAAGAAGACGCTACGATCGGGGACAAAGCCTCCCCCGTGAACATTTTTAAAAAAATGCAAGCATTTCCAGGCGTTTGGTGCCATTTCAGTGTAACTACAATGAAAGACTTTTTTTGTTTCTGCAACAAACCACGATCGGGGAAAAGAATTTGCAATGTTTGCGCGGAGCTGCGATCATCGCGCATTGTTGTTGCAGGATGCTCCAAAAAAATAAAAATTAATAAAAATTAAAAATCGGCCGAAAAGTGGGCCTGGGGCGGCCTCAGCCGCCCCAGCCGCCCCGGGGCCCGGCTGTGACGGCCTTGCAACACAACCAATGACTGTCTGCATGTTGGACAGGAAACACTGGCTAGTACTTCAGCCAGACACCTACCCTAGCCACATCTAGCACATTTTGAAAGGCGGCTAGTGATAAGCGGTAGAAAGTCGGCTAGTGATGAGCTCAGGGGATCATATTTCCTTGTGCAGTGCTTGCTTTCCTCGATAGATGGTAACACAAAATATTGTACAGTAAAACCTGTAATGCCTGGCGACCACTTCGATAAGGCGACCACTCGACCATGGCGACCACTTTTCCTTGTCATGGACGCATTCACATTCAAAACAGCTCGGATAAGGTGACCACTCGCTCAACGCGACCGACGACCACCTACCCGCGACCGCGTTGCACAGTGCTAGTACATGTAAATGTATGCATTGCATGATGCACCATGCAGGGTAGATCTACACATCAGTGCAGGAAGTGTAGATGTGCATGGTGCATGCACGACACTTGACAGGTCTGAGGACCCCAGGCACATGAGTCGTGCTAGAGTAGCATAGGTGTGTGCACTGTGATACACTGATCAAAATGATGTATCACATGTGGATATGGTCACGTGGCCCACTGAACCTGGATAAGAAGACCACCTGGCCACGGCGACCACTTTTTCTCGTCCCTTGCGGGGTCACCTTAGACAGGTTTCACTGTATTCACTTTTCTTTTTTTTACATACATTTGCTTTTCCAGTACCTTTGTATGTTCACAGTAGTTTCTTGAATGCTGCGGCTCTGTGCATGAATGCTGCGGCTCTGTGCACTTAGGAGGCAGTGGTTGCTCGGGAAGAGAAGTCAACGACACCAGCGATCGAGGCACCATCTTGGGTAGCAATGGCTAAGGTATGGTCCTCGCCGTGGGCCGTATGTTCTAGCATTGTACTTCGCATGTCAGGATACGACTCTGTCCGTTTGTGAAGTTGCAAGTTGAAACCTTACTCAAACGCCTACACGTACTGGTGCTTGGCTGAAGAGATGGGAGTTTGCATCCCAATACTTCTCTACTGTTTTATGTGGAAGGACCAAGCACCTGTTGGCCACACGTGGCAAACGTTTATATACATCGGTACAGTACTGTCATGGATTCAAACACACCGAGGTCTCAGTTGTGCACGTGCTTATCATGCACTGGCATGGTGACTCCGGCTCCCTGAACCGACGTGCAGTGTCTTCTACATGTGTAGGCAATGGTGTTTATGTGCATGCGCGTGTGGGCGTGTGTGTATGCGTATGTGGTGTGTGTATATACGTTTGTGTACGTGTTTGCATGTATGTGACTGCTCAGGATAAGTCCAAGCGCGCTTCTGTGCACGATACAGTGTCCACTGGCGAAACTAGCGTGCAGGCACCGGCAGATACAAAGGCAAAGGTAAGACCTGCAAAATCAATCATGATGCTAGAGGTTTGCGCTTTAGTGACCGAGTTGCTACTTCCGACACGCTTGGCGGTGTACTGTAGCAGCTTTTTTGTTGTTGTAATTGGTGCATGCTATTTTTGTCAAATTCGCTTCAATGTGCATTATAATTGCACGTGTAGCCCACTTGCACTTGCGCAATTCGAATTGAGGAATACAGTAGAGCACATAATGATACACACTGGCAGCCCTCCCCCTTCTTCCCCCCCCCCCCCTCATACCCACAAGTACACGCTCACACACATACTTTGAGTGACTGAGGGTAAGGGTATGGCTACTGTTGCGTTTGTCCTTGCAATGTACTGATCTCCAGGCTATGACATTAGGCCATCAGAAGGGGCCTGCATCAACAAGTCAGCCTGCTCACTTCACCCTGCAACCCAAGTCCAAAGCACACAGCACCAGTGCCCTGCCAGGCATGCACAAGCGGACCCAGCAGCACGAGGACAACGAGGAGGAGGAAGCCAAACGACAGCAGCGACGAAGCATCGTCATCACCGAGCAGGAGAAGTGCATCGTGTGCCAGAAGTCGGTGTACCACTCCGAGCGCTTCAGCACCGAGGGTCTGGTGTATCACATGGCGTGCGTACGCTGCGTCACCTGCCAGCGCAAGCTACACATGGATAAGTTTGTCATTGTGCGAAAGCAGATCTATTGTAAGCAGCATAGCATGGCAGTTTCAATGAAACTAGCGCCGAACATCACCACGGCTGCACCCATGCCAAGCATGAGTGCCAGGGGTGGAGCTCTGTCCATGAACTGAAGCACAGAGCCTATCACCACACCGTCTGCTCGATCAGTGTCATCAACCTCTGCTAAGATACAAGTTGCGGTGAAGATTTGATGATTGCATTCAATCTGTTACTCTGATCCCCGAGCAGTTAGAAATCCCAATAGCAATATCATTTTTGTACCAATTGTGAGTGTGAGCGTGTGGAGGCTGAGAGTTGCTGTTATTCCAAAATCAAGGCGTTGAAACAAGTACCGAGTGCACAGACTGATGATCACTTTATGTTCACCTGCTAGAGGGCGTGCACTCCTATGCTTGTTGTCCAGCTGCTCGTCTTGTGTTTCAACGTTTACATGCGTGAGTATGATGCTGATTTGCATCGGAACCTTTGGCCTTGAGAAGTTCTCTTTTTATTGTTTAAACCTTATGATACTGAACGGCTGTTTTGAGCACTTTTTATTTTTAACATATTTCTTCTGCTTTTAGTAGTGCCACGATTACTAGCATGTACACTGTATCACTACCAGTACCAGGGAGTTGTGAAATACATGTTTAACAACATGACACTCCCCTTGGAGTGGATCATATGCACAGCTACTCACTTACTTGTCTGTAGTGTGTGTGGGGGGGGGGGGGTCATACATGTAACTCAGTGGTTATACCGGAGGTTATGCCATTATTATCTCTCTCAGCCCATGGGCTTTCTAGAACCCAATACCCCCCCCCCCCCTCTCTCTCTCTCTCGCAACAAACTTCATCGCTGTGATTTCCGGCTCATGATTCACCGGTGGCTAGACTCTGAGGAGACCTAACAAGGTCTAAACAGCTATATAATAGAGCGGCGTATTTTCTAATGGGCGCTAAGTATGCAGCGCGAGTCGCTAGTGCAGGTGTAGCGCTCTGCCGCAAGTCGGCAAAGCATCTCAACTGGTGATGTAATTGCACAACCTCTATATCTAATAGCTGTCCGGAGATTGTGCATCGTACATGTATGGGGCTGAGTGTGTGTGGTTATCAGCATAGAATCTCAGATTCTAGTGGTTACTTCGCGGGGAGTGATCATTTCACTCGTACATATCTGTACTTTGAGTTGGTGGACAAGCCATCATTGGTTAGCCACTCTCATTGTAATATCAAAAAAGTACTCTTTCTAGACCAAGAGCGGTGTGATTAATAGTGACGATGTTGTTCAGAACAACGAAACGTCTGGAAAAGTATCGTAAATGTTTCTATACCACTCTTGGTCTAGAAAGAACACATTTTTAATACCGGTATCTGTACTTTGTATAATAATTAATTATGCTGCCAAACTAAAGCCTACTATACACAATAAGGGGAATTCCCAGATTGCTAGAGTGCTCAACGCTACAAGGATGAAGCAATACCACAAAGTATCCGGCTGTATGACTCAATGTATTTTGGTTTTTGGAGATAAGTACAGCAGCACACTGCATATCTCTAGACAGTGAAAATACCGTACACATGGTACATGTGGCAAACTAGTGCTAAAACTGGATTATCTTCTCTGTCTGGCCATATAATTCTTATAAATATAGCAGGGTTTCAAGGTGAAACTAACAGTGACGCAAGAACACCCAGCGGCTCAGTGGAAACACCACCGGACCAACGTGAATAGAGTGGGTGGTAGCCGACCACGGCGACTAGTAACGATAGGTAGGAGTTAGAAGGTTAGGATAGGACGTATTGTCCTTACAAACAAACTAAAACAGAGGCCCCGATCTGAACTGTCTTGTATTGTAGACAACTGTCAAATGAGTCACGGTGGTCACCATGGTCACGGTGTAGCTTCACACGCCTAGCACCTGTTTGCAGTGTTCGTATGCATCAATCCATCATGCAGGAAAGCCATGATGGATAATCTAGGGAAGGCGTTTCGTGGTGGTCAGTAAGTTAGTGGACTTGTCGCGCCCCTATCTCCGTGATCTCAGTGCAGTGTACCGGTATGTGCATGACTGGTCTTAGACTCTTAGTGTATTACCTTGCCGCAGTACTCCTGTCCACTAGCTCATAATAATGACATTGACAACATGGTCAATACTAGAGGACATGGATGGGCCGAGACTCTGCCTTCGGATGGTGTAGACCACGGTAGATCTACAA